TGAACTAAAGAACCTTTTTTTAACATCATAAATATATTAAAAAGTGACACGTGCAGCAGACTACGAGGGACACCTGCCCAGCGCATGATCACTTCCATGACGAAATTCAAGTGATCACATGATAAGGGATCACCTTGTCTGAAGCCTTATATACAAATTGATGCAAGAGATATGAAAAGTTTTGGAGCGACTAGCTCCTACCTTGATGTAGCTGCGGGTATTGCTTGCAGGGATACAGAGTTTACACACTGCGGATTAAACGCGACCCTTGTAAGGGTTATTGAAAGCTGCTTTACAATCAACAAAAAAAAGTGGTGGGTGCCGATGTTATATGCCTTGGCTTTTTTCAGGATTTGTCGCAATGTGAATAATTGGTCAATGGTGGAGCAACCAAAACAAAAGCCACACTGATAAGTTCCAATCAGTGAGTTTGTATGTGACTTTAACCTTGTACGTGACAGTTAATAGGCTGATCCCACGATAGTTGGATCATCTTAGGAATCTTAGTACTAAGATTCAATCGTTGAGCTTACTTCCATATTTTTATGCTCTGTTTCCATGATGTGTTTGGAAATACCCTGAAAACTACCATTTGTATAAATTTTACTAATTAGAACATATTTATGATTTAAATAATTGTTCAGATATGTACGTCTTTCTGTTGTATTCAGCTTTATTATTAATAACTCAATATCCCCACAAATAACATGTAACAAACTATTGCCTTCAATATTTGAAGAGTATACATAAAATATTTAAGAAAAGTTTATCCTTTCGAACAAATGATAATAATGCTTTTTAAAAGACTAGTCGGGGAAGTACTAAAATACATTTTGCGGCATTTTATAAATCTAATTTGGCAAAGTGCGTTCTTGGAAATTAATTAAAACATATGCTCATCACTTAGGGCCATAAATCTGCCAGTACAATTATCACATTTACGAGTAATTTGATTGTGATAGTGTTTGATATTAAATTGCCGACGACTAGATTGAAGATGGGTGAAACTGATCAACACATCACCATTCTCATCGCATAGCACAGCAGCAGGAAAACTCTCAATGGCCAAATATTTTCCACAAGCCTTCATTTCAATGCATCATTTCAAGTTTTCTGAAGAAGTGAAACAAGTGCGCGTGACGACATCAAATCCCAACAATCATTTTGGTTTGGAAAACGAACTCCAATTAGTGACAATTTTATTCTCGCCTTTTGCATGTAAGATCGCTGTAATAAAATGATGAAGGGAGTATACGACGTCCATATCTCCCCCTAGTAATTTACCGCCAAACTACATGTAAAATGCAGTCTCGCTCATTGTTTCGAACTGCAGAGGCGCTAAACTATGCATTTAAATCGTCGCGTTTCATTTGTTTGAACTCATTAAATTGAAAAAGACTGAAGTCTGGAACTCCTACTTTCTGTTAGTTTTCTTGGTGCCGAGAGAGGAGATGTGACTTTGTGGGAAAGTGCTGCGCAATTATACGCACATGTCGGGTGACAAGTTTGAGTAATTACAAAAATTAATTGCCAATGGGCCAAAGCACACATTGTCTGCTAATTTTGGATTTTTATTGGAATTCATTTAATTAAAACCATTGACACCATATATTACAGTAGTAAGCACTTCCACATAAATAATTTAATTCAAATAATATAAACTTTACATCGTGGAGTTTGGAATAGATATCAATTGATAGTGTTGCTTATAAGTATTCAGTCCATTTTCGTAAATGTGATTCTGATTCGCTGGTTCATATGGTGTGTATTAAGTACCATATATATCGTATTTCAGAATATATATATGAGCTGCAGCAGCTCAGAATATTATTAAAAAGAAGTACTTGCAATCAAATATTCAGTTTAGAAATGATTAAACTAAAAATTATTAAATTTAATATATTAACTATATTATAAAATTTTTATATATTTTGTTTCTCTTTCTCTAGTTTTTTTCTATCTGCTAAATTACTTGATAATATTTAAAGTTCTAAATACAAATTGCAAGATTTAACCACAGTTGATACCGAAAGTTACATAGACCTCAATTTACAGTAGCTTTAAATCTGTTCTGATTTGAATTTTATGCTTTCGAGAAAAATAACGAAAGGGGATCACGTTCATCTCTAGAATCAATTTCACTATTTTCAATATATTCTTTTATATTCAATCTTAGTTATCTTAAAAATTTAGTACAATTTTAGTAACCTAACCAATCAAAAGGAACAATAAACGTAGCATTGAAAAAATGGGGTCTAAAGTGTTCATTTGATCATTCAAAGAAGTCTTTGACTTATATTGTTGATAATTGCCAATAGTTTCCATTAACGAATTATGACCGAAGTTAATGTGATGTCTTCCAATGCATTATCCTAGTAAAATACATCAAATCTTTAATCATATATCATTATTCTCTTCGTACTCCTCTTGTAACAATTCACTTATAGCTATTCAAAAGTAGTTTTTCAACTATTTGGATTAATAATCCTTAATGTCCAAATATTATAATCTTAATAATTTAATTCAATGAAAATTTTTTACCCTAAAACCTAAAAACCAAAATATTTCAAATGGCGCCACATTTTTCTTTAGACAGATTTTTGCTCTAACTTTCGTCTTCATCCTGTGAACTAATCCTATCAATTATCTAAGTCGCGACTTATTGTCGTCAACTAAAAATTCCAACTTGTTAAATCGCAATTATTCATGATCAAAATTTCATTCAGTTTATGAATTCCACAGTTAAGAATCCTAACATTTCCTGAAAATTACTCACATCCTGACTTGTTGAATTTCTTACAATCTGCCACCGAAATTCCAATATGTAAACGAGGACTTGTTTCTAAAAGAATTTAAATAAAATTTAGGAAGTAAATATATGTTTGCTTTATAATAAAATGAAAACATTTTATTTTTCAGATTAATTAATTTGATATTAATAAATTTCAATATTTTATATTCTCTGGAAAGAAGTTTCCTAATTTTTAAAAAATTTTTGTGCTGAACTTGTGGTGAAAAAAATTAATTAATTAGCATTTTATAATTAATTTAATATTTTTTTTATTTATATAATAATTTTTTTAATTAATTAAACTTGATTATCTCCTAATTTACAATAATATAATTATAAGTTAAAGTGATTTAAATTATACGAAAATGATAGGTTCATAAAGACACCTGTAAATAATCACGTAAATATACGAGTACATTGTATATGCGCCGAACTCCGAGCATTACACCAATTTGGTTTACAAATAATATTTCATACCAAAAATTTAGATATCTTAACTTCCCTCCCCTATTAGAAGGTGTTTCAAATTATGTCATAAATATTTTAATAGCAACACTTAAACGATAAATCGCCGCTAAATGTCACTAATCAGTGTCCACGGTATGTGTGCACTTATTTCATTTCGCACCCAACACTCTTCCATTTTCCCATTTTTCCGGTGTTTGATGCTTGCACATCTTCCAACAACCTCGTCATACACAATTTTTTATATTTCTCCTAATTAATTTATGATTTTCTTCACCGCATTAATCTTGCTCAAGACTAGAGGTGGTGCTGCCGCAGAGGAAGTTTGGCGCTACGGCACTGGAATCTCAGACGCTCATTCTTCTTTTTTCTTTACCACTGCAGATGTGTTGCGGCACACTTTGCCTTGCTGTGAATTTTCTAGTTTCCTCAGATATTTCTATGCTCATGATTTTCTTTGGTGTTATGAAAGTAATTATGTGGGCTCATGTTCTATTTGACATTTATCATAATTTTATTTCGACTCCTTATTGTTTATGGGACATAAAACGATGTTTCGGGATTATTTCGAAATCCAAAAATGTCATATTTAAGCAGTCTAATTATATTTATATTAAGTTGAATATATATATATGCTTTTAGAGTAGAAAATTTAAGAATATAATATGTTAAGAGAAATGTGATTGAAGAATTAAGTTATTTGGCATCAATTAGGGAAGATCTGAGAGCTGTTGCTTACTTTATGAATAACAATAATATTCAGATATGTAAAGTTATAAATATTTCAATTTTTAGGAATAACAGCAATCTAGATTTTAACTTTATAGCAATCGTATGTGTTTAAATATACTTCGTTTTTATCTATTGCTTATAATGGAACAGACCTTTATTTTTATTAGGCAAAAAACAGAAGCCTTTCAAGTAGAAATTTATATTATAGTTACGTGAGCTTACTTTGAATGTAACTAACATATGACAACCAATGAATATATATTCCAATATTAAAACAGGAAACACGACACTTAGTTCTGAACTGGTGACACTAAAATGATTCTGTTTAATAAGCTGAAAATCCAAGCCCAAAACTATTAGGCATGTATCCAATAGGTTCTACATCATATTAGAAGTTCCACTCATAGAATTCCTTTGCTCTGTTTGTACTATTGAGACTATATGAGGAAGAAAATAACTTCTTACATTTACTAAGTAAGAAAAAAAAAAGAGAAGACTTTACTAAGATAATGTACCAACGCCAATATGGAACTTTAACCGAAATCCTATGGACTGTACTAAGCCAATCTACTAGCGCTATCGCTAAGCAACTAGGCAAATTGTTAGGGGATAGAGTTTAATCCATTTTAGTTTAAACTTTAAGTTTTGTAGGGGAAGAGAATGATACCGAGAACAAGTTCTGAAAACTTGTCAAACACTTATACTCGAATAAGGAAGATAGTAAGGTAGCTTATATCAAATGAAGAATAAGGCTCGTTAAAGAGAATTCGTTGCTAGAATTTATTGAGGTAATGCGTTTAAGAGAACTTGGTATAAATCTATGAAGGAAACACACGATGTCCTTATTTTTCTCAAATATGCAAATAAATAAGGTGATATAGAAGAGTTTTACTAATCCAGAATACCATATATTTCATTTCACAAAATATATTTCGTTGCAATTTAATGAACCTATTATAATAAAACAACATTATTAGCATTTCCTTGTAAATCATGTTTAATTTAAATATAATTATAATAAAATATATAATCTTGGGCAAAAATAAATTTAAATCACAACATCAAAACATGACCAATGATATAATCTTCTGTTTGCGTCTAATAGAAAATAATTATTAGGAAAGGTTTTATTAGTCGTTGAGTTGTCGCTTTATAAGGAATATATAACCAGACATTCGACTTGGGAAGGTGGCTGAAATAAAATGAAACCATTATTATAATTGATCACAATTTTCTTTATAAAAATATGAGAACATACTGTATATATATAATCGGCGTGTTAAGGATTCCATTGGGTATTAAATAAAGTATTACTTGATGTTACAAATTTAATTAAATCAAAGTAATATAAATTAATATTGTTGTGTTTTAATTAATCTTGTTTCTTCTGGTAATTCCAAATATGGATGATTCGTGAAACGACAATCCATCCTTGATAGCAGTTGGTTCTTGAAGTTTAAAATTTTATTTATTTGGTGTTGAAAAATAATTCAAGTATTCATATATATATATATATATAAATATATATATTTGTATCTTTGTGATTAATGTTGTTTTACTAATGTATTTCACATAACTCTCTTTAAACTTACTGCATATTAGTAATTTTGATAATCATGCGGGCGAACTATTTTTAAAAAATATAGGTACCTCGTTTGGAGATGATAAAATTTCAATAGACGATAGTTTAAAATTAGTTTAAAAGTGACTATCAAAAAACCAATACCAACAATCTTGATAATTTGCTGTGGATCAATATCCAACAAACGTAAGCAATGCCATATATGTAGTATATTGAGTAATAGTTTCATTGTTAGGTAAAAATAGAGCGTCATGTAAAAAAGCAGGTACCGACATGCTATTTTATTCTGCGATTAGAAGAAAAAAGTTATATGTTTTATATGTAATAATATTAAATATTTATACACATAAAAGTTATACTCACTGTAAATGAAATTACGAAGATTAATAAGCTAGTACAAGACATATAGAAGAACCTCAATCCAAAGTTATAATTGCTTGTAATAAAAGGACGATCATATGAGTATCCAACAGTTTCACGCATATTCTGTTCTGTTTTCAAAAGGGAGCGTTAGATAAAATTTAGTAAAAAATTAAACTCCATAGAGTTAACTTAATCTTACGTATGTTTGACATTTTCCAAACATGATCTGTTGTTAGAATTACAGCCATAAAATATAACTCCGTTAATATGAGCCCACAACACTCCAAACGAAAATTAGTTTTGGTTTTATTTGTGTAGCCAATTTCTTTCTTCATTTTTTCCACAGTACTATCTTCAGGAAGTCTGACTGCTTTAACTTCGATCATTCTAGTCTAATAATTTATAACAAAAAAACTTTTTTATAAAATGAATATATAGAAAAAGTATGCTAAGTATGCGAGAAAGAAAAAACATCAGTCGTAACATCTGCTAAATATCGACTAACATAATAAAATTCTGGACACTATTGGACTTATCTATTAAAGTCAGTAATTATTGCCAACTACGTACTATTTATACTCAATCCATAGTCTCATCATTCGAAATTACGGCAAATTAAAGAACTGTTTAGAGACGTCTCAGTAAAGGTACCAGTAAATATTTTTATAGAGACCATTAAGGCGGCACCTATTTCTACTTTCTGGAACTAGCAGACTTTCTACAATTGGTCGAAATCCTGGTCTGGTACCTAATTTGTATACCATGAAACCACATTGTATGGGATTGAGCTCATAATACCAGGTTAATTGCAGCTCTTTTCGGCCACTGGAGTATAGATATCCACACAGAGAAATTGCCTTGTACATGCAACGCTAGATCTAAACTTATATTAATCATAGATTTCCAATTGGACATACGTTTAAGTACCAGATAAAATAAGATTGGATTAAGGAACGCTGATATCTACAGGTTTTGTGACATGCGGATTAAAATATTCACCCATCTTATTTGCTTGAGTCAACACTCTCATTTGGATTTCTTCAAACCTTTTAGATAAGGTGGTATCAATATCTCTTGCATTAATCATAATATAGATAGTCTGTTTTGTTTAAAGTTTTCGCAAAAAGCTGGCTAATATAATTATTCTTTTGTCTCTAAGCAAAAGCCTCTGAGTTTCTGTCGCTGAATCTAATCATATATAAAAATCAACTTGATTAAAACTGGATTCACACAGTTTTGTTGTAATTTAAGCTGTCAACTGTTGTTGCTTTCAATGCAAAATAAAAATTTTTGACAGCTAAAATTATAAAGAAAAGCCACGTGTGAATCCAGAATAAGTTGAGAATAAAAATATGTTAATAATTACGTGTATCTTGTAATTATTAAAATAAAATAACTTACCGTTTTATTAATCATTTTAACTCCTGTTCAAATATTATAAATATTATTACTATTATGGTACTTCAATTGGACACCTTAAAATAATATATAAATAATATATTTATATATATATATAAGTTATATGTACGTTACCTTAGGTTTTCAAAGAGATGCAGTATTTCTTGATTCGCGTGCACCTTAATTATATTTCTTATATATAGCGAAAACAAATATAAATATAACTCTCAGTATCTATTTAAAAAATAATTATTTGACTTTATTAATGCAAATAAAACTTATATACTGGCCTTAGCAACAAAAATAAAATCTTAGTAGATATAGTCACAACACAATGGGCGATCCTATATTGTGGAACAAGAGTGGTTAATAAATTTTTGTTATTAAAATTTAAAATTCAGTATAGAAATTTATTTTTAAAATTTGGTTACTATGGTAATTCATTTTCTCCATATGAAAATCTTGGGTCAAACATTTATTTATTATTAGTTCTTTACCTTAATGCTTTAAATTGAAAGAATTGAAGGAACTTCAAAGTATATATTTTCAATCTGCGGAATTTGATTTACCTACAATAAAATTTTATATATTTTAATGTACAATCAAAACAAAAAACTTATAAATACATAAATTTATATATATATATATTATATCTATAAATTTTCTTTATATTTATACAAACCTTTATATCACTGAACGAAGGAACTTAGAAATCCAGGTCATAATACAGAGATGTTTTGCTAGTAAAGTGCAAAAGTGGATCAATAACTGGTATTAAAATTTTTGTATTTTAAAATACAAATTTATATGTCAAACAATTTTCTACATAAGTCAAATACTTTAAATTTAATTATAAAATTACTTCAATGAATAACTGATTACATAATGAACAACATATTATTATATATATTACAGACTTCTGACTTCCTCTGTCACGTTAAATTTTGCATTATTTGTGTTGACTTTAATTTAGTTATCTTAACCAGTGAACTATGTGATCAGATAATATAAACACTTAGTAAATAATTACTAAATTATTGTCATATAATTAGTTAACTATTATTTACGAAGCCCATATTTGATAAAAATAAGCTTAATGATTCTAACCCAAATCTTTTCACTCTCGGCTAGGTTTAAAAACCGATTAGTATAGTGGGTAATTTGAGATTTTGTTTATTCATATAGAGTAATCATCTTATCTAGGTCGGATAAGTTCAAATCTAACTCTGGTCTGTTTGAGATACCATTCTTCTTCGCTAATTAGAGTTTTACTTTTGTTCAGACTTCAATCTGAAGTTTATCTTTTATAATAATCATTGCTAATTAAAAATTGTATACACCTCTACGACCATCCGAGATCGGTACAATATGGATAAGGCCTCATTTTATCTTTAATACTTCTTAATACAAACATTCAGCAGCTTACCATTTTACTGAGCAGATTAATCCATCAGATCGATTTCTTTCAATCTCTTTTGTCTCTTATAAAGCTGGATTTGATGACTTCAATGAACTTCTCTCTTAATTTCAGGGTGATTCGAGTTTTTTTTTTTTGGTAACTTCATTGGTTAAATTATTATTTCATGTTATTATAATAGATTTTCTTTCATTTCTTATAGGGTTTTGTCTTTATTTATATTTTGAATATTATAGTGTATGTGATAACATTTTAAAAAAATATTAACCAGTCTGTAACCAGTCAAGTGTGTTATTGTGACAGAAAAGTGTAAAAACTGCTTAATTTTTATTAATCGCTCTATTAACCGAAGGAAAAACCATTGATTAAGAAAAGTTAAATACTCTTTACTTTGCAGTAAAGTAAGTTTTGATTGCAATTTTTAATACTACGATTTTATGAATTGGAAACATCGGAAAGAAGAAAATATTGAAAAAAAATTCGTATTTAATAAGGTTCTATATATATTACTATTTACATATATTCATATTTGCATTTAAATCCATATTCATATTCATAAGGTGCGATATATAGTTTATAATTAATTTACTAAAATAATTTCGCGGTATCTTCAAATTTTCTATGTTTTATTTTAAATCAATTAGTAATAATGAAAAGTTCAATATTGTGTTTTTAATGGTTTAATTTTTTTAAAAGTTCTTAGAAAATTGCTTAACAACTAATTAATAAATTATTATATTATTAATTATATAAATAGTTAATAATTATAATAAAAATGGTTATCATATCTGTGCAGAATTCTATGTTTTGATTCAAATTTAGAAATTACAAATTGCACAAATTGCATAATTCTATGTTTTTATTTAAGCATAATAAAAATAGGGCATTGCGCCATCTATTGAGCAATAGGCAACACTTGGAAGAAAATCTATTATGTAAAATATTTCTGTTTACAACATTATGAATATTGCTGTGTGTTAATAAGAAAATAAAAAATAAGTACAAAGAAAAATTTTTTTTAAATAATAAGAAAATTTTATGTCTTATATGTAAATTACAATTATTACAAAATGATTTTTAACAATTTGTTTCGTATTATATTATACAATAAAAATTAAAACTAAATTTCGCTGCTATGTTAACGAACATTAACTACTAATGTTAATAACAGATTTAGTCGCCGAATTTCAGAATTCATAAAAGCTTTCGCTTATAAAAGAAAAAAAGTTGCAGAAACTTGATTTCTGTTTGTGAATAGGCGAATTGAAATTACATTGGGAAAGGTCAGGAGCAAAAAATAATAAATAATAGCAAAAGTGAAAATAAAATGTAAGCAAAACAAACAATAAATGACTTGCAATGCAATTGTTGAATAATAATTAATTTTACAATAACAATAATAATATTTAGCAGTTTTTAACATAATAACAACAATAATATAAATATTAAAAATGATTCATGGCAGGAAAAACATTTAATTGAAATTCTCACCAAAATCGAATTAAAATAAACTACGTGATAAGGTCAATTATTTTGTTATTATTTGTTTAAACCATTTTAAAACATAAATTAATAGGTAAAATAAGTAATAAATAAATATTTATAAATATTTATTGTATATTTGTGAAAATATTAATATATGTTGTGGCACTTCATCACAATAAGTAATGACATGACTTGCAAGCAAAATGAAATGTTTATACTGCGGAAACAACAACAACACATTCAAAAACAAAAACAAATGACCAACATCACAAAAAAGTGCAAATAATAAAAAAGAAAAAAAAAATAAGCAAGTTTTGTGCAAAAATTGAGCAGACAAGCAGCAAAAAAGCTTCCCACTCAATGTAAGGTTACGCACTTTTCCTCTCAGCAGTGCTTGATCGACAGTTCATGACTTTGCAAAAAAAACAAAAACAAAACGAAAAACAAAAACACAACAAAACAAATTAATTCGCACTCGAAAAAAGGCCAAACGAAAAGAAACGCTGCCAAAAATAATTAAATTTTTTAAAGAATTTTTTTTTTAGTTTAATTTCGAAACGGAAGTAAGGCAAAGGAAATAAAGAAAAAAAAGAATTAGAAATAACAAAGAGAAGGAGAAATATGAGAAGAAAAAGAAAATCTCCAGTTTGATGAGGGAAAAAACTACTTCGCTTTGTTTTTGCATTTTTTTAAATATACGTCTTCTTTTAAACCCAAGACAAAGATATATCTCTGGTCAAGGTCGAAGAGAAATTTATTTTTTATTAAACAAAAAAATGAATTTAATTAAAATTATTTTTCATCCATTGGCAGTTACTGAAAAATTGTTGCAGTCTTATTTATATTAACACTTATAGACTTATAGACAATCAGCTGTTTCTTTAAGCTTCCTTCAAAGTGATTAAGATATTTAGCTTCCAAGTCAATTAAAACAAGTTAGGTATTATTTCATCCTACAGAACTATCAGCATCTTACTCAAAATCTAGAGTCATAGGCAGAAATTTTCTCTGTTGCCTTCCCTTAATTGTCAAAAGCCGAACTGAATATGTGGAAATATTTTCCCCAGAAATTTAGGCGGACACAGCTTATAAAATATGATAATGTATTGATCACACACATATAGTGCCCCATGAACCCGTTTTGCTTACGACCATATGCCGTGCCTATAATGAGGTCAAAAGAAACTATATGCAATATTTTTCCTGTACACGTGTTCTACTACTCAACACATGCGATGCTAATCAACAGTCGAAGATAAAGTTATAGTTTTAGACACGTAGTCCGGGTCCAATATTACACAGAGCATAGAGCATCCAATAATACCTGTGATATAACGCGTTACAACTGATTTAGATCTGTAAGTGGCGTTAACTAAAACAATACCTAAGTGCTTAAGAAAACCCTTTTTTTTGTGAATAGATGAAAATTACGCAGGATTATATTAAAGTAGGTTGTGACAGCTTTATCGAAGACCTAGAGTTATAGCTGGCTATAAAGGTCGGTGTATTGAATATTTGAAATGAACTCAAGAAACTCAAATAATTTACAATAATTTTTTTTATAAAAATTTAATCATATGATATTGCAATTACACTTGATCTCTGCTATAACGACTTTTGCTGCGATTAAGTTCTGAAGAGAAGGAATTAACTGTGTTTTATCTTGTGTGTCAGAGCCCATTAGCCAGTAGAAGGTCTAAAAAATCTTTGTGGTCTAAAAAATCTTTCAAGTCTATAGACTTGACAGGTTATAGACTTCTTCTTAGGTTTAAATGGGTGTATCATCGCTAATTTAACGGTATCCGTCCGCTAACCAATTAGGTCTGTATACCTTTTCTGGCGGTGCTCCTGAGCTGACATATAAATAATGTTTATTTGTGTTATCAACTTGCTATTATTTGTGCTCAAATGGGTTTTAGCGTCTACATCGTCGTTGCATCCTAAACTAACTTAGTTACAGGTCGCGATAATGATGGACGTATTAGAAATTTTAAATTATTAAAAATAACTGAAGTATTTTTTTTTAAAAAAAATTCTGAAACCATTTTATTGAACTGTTAGACGTACTATTATATTTTGAAATAATTAAGGTTAATTAACATGACTTGATTTTTGCCCTTTCTACATTCTCTTAATTTTTTCATAATAATATTGCCCACATCCAGCTGGATACCCTGTAATTTAATGCGGTGTTATAAATCTTTCAATATGTATCAATTAAAAAGATATTTAAATATATTAAACTCTTGTCGAATGACGACAATTGTCTTTGATGAACGGGAGGAGTAACTCTAAAAATCTATTGATTTTAGATTTGATTGAATTTGGACTTCAGGTAAACGTGACAACTCGCCCATTTCTAATTGAAATGCACGTCAAACAGTGAAGAAAATAAATGGAAAAAATATATATATATTATTATAATATAGACGCGCATGTGCGGTTCATTGAACAATGGAGACATCGTCCATGTTTTTGATTGTTATGTCATCTTTGGAAATGACTTTGTGATCACAGGCATGAATATTGGAAATCACAATTCACAATCACACGAACTTATTTATTTAAGAAAATTGCATGTTAATTACCAAGTGTAAGTTGATATCGTAAACGTTTTTTATTAAATGCATAAATATTAAAAAATATATATATTTTATTTAATGCATGAATATAAATTTTATAAATTTGCTGTTTCATAAATCAACTTACAATGACCTTTAAATTGCACTGAACAAGTTTTCGGAAATTTCTTTAAAAAAATTTTATTTATTTTTTTTTAAGTTGTATTTTATCATATTTGGAATCTGTTTTGAAAAAAATTATATTAAACCGCAGTAAAGTGTAATTTAATATAAAAATAAGAATTTGAATTCTTACAAATTTAAAGAAAAAAAAATG